ATGTGCTTCGCGCCACAACGGCGTGCACTTTTTCGACATCTTAACTTCTAAGAGTGTCCCTAAGCTGAGGTGTTTTGTGCATTTTCAGTTCGACATGTGCTTCGCGCCACAACGGCGTGCAACTTTTCACCTCTTATCTGGCCAGATGGCTCCGCACCCGCCGCTTTAGCGAGCCTACTTTTCGACCCGCCGGTGCCACACATCATTGGCAAAACACAGTGAATCGCTCCTGTCTACCTTTTCGCGCACTTGCATCTTCTTTCCTCTTTCTCTTTCTCTTCTCTGATCTTCTCTCTGATTCCCTCTTGTCTCTCTTCTGCTCTTCTCTTCTCTGACTCTGCCCACCTCTGCTTTTCCATCTGTCCATATTGTCGGAAGTTTGACTTCTAAATTTCCTTCGGCACTTGCAACTGCACTACATTGCACTACACTACACTAATTACACTGCAGCACAGTACAACTGCAAATACACATGCAACTAAAACTACACTATACTACACAACACTACACTACACTAATTACATTACACTACATTACACTACATTATATTACATTACATTACAGATTACATTTTTCATTGCATTGCACTACATTTACATTACATTTCATTACATTACATTACACGACCACTACAACTACAACTGCAACTGCTACTATCACTACATTACACTACACTACGCTACACTACACTACACTAATTACACCACACTAAGCTACAGCTGCAAGTACACTACTTTACACTACGCTACGCTACACTAGACTACGCTACACTATACCACACTACAGTACACAACACTACAGTACACTACACGACACTCATTACACCACAACCACAACCACAACTACAACTACAACTGCAACTGCAACTGCACTACACTACACTCACTACACTATTTACACTACAATACACTGCCCTACCCTACCCTACCCTACGCTACACTACACTACACTACACCACACCACTACACTACACTATGCTACACTACACTGCACTGCACTTCACCTCACCACACCACACCGCACCACACCACACCACACTACACTACACTACCCTAATTACACCAGAACTACAACTGCAACTGCACTACACTAATTACACTACACTACAACCACAACTCTATTACGCTACGACTACAACTACGGCTACAACTACAACTACAACTGCCAGCAGTTGTGGTGAGGTGACTGGTGCAACCATTGCAGCAACTCCAAAAAACACAACTCCAACCACCTTTCGGCCCATCAGTGGACTCGCTCTGCCATCCGTGATTCGCAACAACCAACCTCTCCTATAGGCTATTGTTGAAACTTCTGCCACCGGCTTGTGCGGTACTATTGGTAAAATATCTACTTGTGACCACGGCCGACTGCTCCGGGTGGAACCTGTGGTTTGATGTCAGCGCCACTATTGCGTGTTACCCGGACAGAAACTAACTGGCAGGTGTGCCCTCTTGTTGATGGCATCAGGCCATTCTCTCAGATACAGTGACAAGCAAGGGAAATGACAGGAAAGGATTGTCTCTTGGGCCAAGTGCAAGCTTGAGGATGACCCATCGACATAGAAAGCGACATGCCAGTTTCAGGTGGAATCTGTTGGTATTGGTTTTCCAGCAAACGTCAGCCACGTTTGTTCTAATTTCCCCTAAGCTCCGATGCAAGTTTTCTTGGCATCGAGCGCCGTCGTAGACTTCTGAGATGTCCAACCGCAGCAAGGTTGCTAGCACTCCTTCCTGCCATCAACCCATAATTTGAAAGATTACTGCAGGTTTTAGCTACGGCTTCAAACATGAAAGATAAAATGCAGGGTTTCAGGCTATTTAGGCAAGTCATGGTTTTAAAGACCAAATAAGAAGCAGCACGCAAGGAATTGCGATTTATCAGCCAAACTAGGAAAAGACATTTTGGCAAACCGTCATGTAGCTGAACAAGTTATTATCACATATCAGGCAAAAAATAGCGGCACGATCATACTTATCAACACCACTATTCTGAGCATCAGCATGGCTAATTTTTTCCAGCGTGACTGGAGTGAGTGAGTGAGCGAGTGAGTGAGTGAGTGAGTGAGTGAGTGAGTGAATGAGTGAGTGAGTGAGTGAGTGAGCGGGAGTGAGCGGGAGTGAGTGAGTGTGGGAGTGAGTGTGTGAGTGAGTGATGTGAGTGAGTGATGTCAGTGAGTGATGTTAGTGAGTGATGTGAGTGAGTGTGTGAGTGATGTGAGTGATGTGAGTGATGTGAGTGATGTGAGTGATGTGAGTGGAGTGATGTGAGCGAGCGAGCGAGTGAGTGATGTGAGTGGAGTGATGTGAGTGAGTGATGTCAGTGAGTGATGTGAGTGAGTGAGTGAGTGTGTGAGTGTGTGTGTGTGAGTGAGTGAGCGAGTGAGTGAGTGAGTGAGTGATTGAGTGAGTGAGTGTGTGTGTGAGTGAGTGAGTGAGTGAGTGAGTGAGTGAGCGGGAGTGAGCGGGAGGACGCGGAGGAGGACGGAGCGGATACAGAACTAAAAACAAAAACCCCACACGTCAATGTGGGGAAAAATGGGACGGGAGACAGACAGGAGGCATTTACTTGTGAAAAGCCAATGTTTTGCGCAGTTTGGAAGAAGATCAGCAGCATGCACATTGATGTTTCCACAACAGAGTTTGTAGACCAAAAGATGTGAAAACTTCAGAGAACGAGACAGTAGATGGACAAAATATTCAAACCCTGCAGCACGCACTATGTTGAACCCCCGCACCCCCAAATCTCAATGTTTCAGCGCGCGTGTTAGCAAAAGTGATGTTAGGGGTTTGATTTTTTTCGTCCATTGGGGCTAACGCACTTCAGGTTAGAATAACATTGAACTTTGGGGGCGAGGGGGTTGTACTGGATAGAAGGGGTTTGAATATTTCGTCATTTCGTCCATCTACGGTAGCTCCAATGCACGAGAAAGTTTGAGCTGCGATCAGATGACATGAACATAGCCAAGAAGAACGTGGCTGACATATGGGAAGACATGAAACCAGATGAAAAGAGCTCAGATGTGAAGTGTGAACGAAAGTGCTTGCTTGACGTTGCATTGCACCGGGGTCGCGCGCAGGTCATGTTCTGGGACAACAACACAGCAACAGCTTCGCACAAAGCACGCACGCACGGGCCTGGCTGGCACACGGCGCATGCAAGCTCTTTAGTAGTAGTACTGGGAAGTGATTCATGAAAGCTTAAATGACATATGAGAAGAGATGCGCTGGGATAAGGTGAGAAGTTAGACAGCTCAGATGATATGAAGTGTTGAGTGTGAAGAGTACAGTGTGAAGTGTGGGGCGTGAAGAGTGCAGTGTGAAGTGTGGAGTGTGAAGTGTGAAGTGTGGAGTGTGAAGAAAGCAGTGAGAAGTGAGAAGTGTGAAGTGTGGACTGTGAAGTGTGAAGTGTGAACTGCGAAGTGTGAAGTGTGAAGTGTGGAGTGGGAAGAGTGCAGTGTGAAGTGTGGGGCGTGAAGAGTGCAGTGTGAAGTGTGGAGTGTGAAGTGTGAAGTGTGGAGTGTGAAGAAAGCAGTGAGAAGTGAGAAGTGTGGACTGTGATGTGTGAAGTGTGGACTGCGAAGTGTGAAGTGTGAAGTGTGGAGTGGGAAGAGTGCAGTAGGAAGTGTGGAGTGTGAAGAGTGCAGTGGGAAGTGTGAAGGGCGAAGTGGAGCTTCAAATGTGACATGTGAAACAGGACGCCACTTTCGCAGAGTGCACGCACGCACGGGCTTGGCTGGCGCACGGCGCATACAAGTTCTATAGATGAGAAAGGTCTTTTATATATCCCTAAGGCAACTTTCGCCCCGCTTCGTGCGGGTACTACTGATATATATATATATATATATATTCTATATATACATATATATCAGTTTCAATATATATATACATATATATATATATGTATATATCAATATCAATTTATTTATATATATATATATATCAGTTTCAATATATATATATGAATTTTTATATATATATATACAAATATATATATATATATATATATATATATCAATTTATATATATATATATCAATATATATATATATGTGTATGTCAATTTATATATATATATATTAATTTATATATATTTATATTTAAATTCGTATATATATATATCTCTCTCTCTCAATTTATATTTATATCTATCTATCTATATATATATATATATAAATATATATATATATATTTGTTTGTTTGTTTTGTTTGTTTTGTTTGTTTGTTTGTTTGTCTGTCTGTTTGTTTGTTTGTTTAATATGTGATTACACGCATGTTACGCAGGCACACCAAACGGTGTTACCACACGGGCTACCGACACCCTTTGGAAACCACCCAACGAACGAAAATTTGCGCGAGCATCTCTCAGCCAGCGATGCATCCGGGGTGATCACTAGAACAGGTGAAGCGCAAAACCACCATAAGTCCCAAAATTAGAATGCTAAGTGTGGCGTCCTTGAACTGTCAGTGTGGAGGTCGTGCTTGTCGCAGGGCATGGTGGCAGGGCCTTGAGTTGGTGGATGCGGTCACCAGTGGGACATTCCAATGCTGGTCTGAACCGGAGAAGAGGAACCTGTTTTCCACAGCGATGCAGAGTTGTTGTAGACAAGTTCCACGGTCATTTAGGACTGGCTGACTCTAGATTGCCTATTTCGAATCAAGACCTAGTGGCCCTAAGTTTGGCCCGCAGCTTCCTTGAGCGTTCTATGTCTCTTAACGGAAGTTGTTCCTTCAAGTGCAGCAACTAGAAATGACACAGTTTCGCATGGAAACCCACAAGTGATCAGTGCTCTCAAGCATCATCCGTAAGTCCCGCTAAAATTCAAGGCAATGAAGAGTGCATACTTTACCTGTTCTTGCAGCGATGGCATCGGTGGGTGCAAACGCTTGCGGCCAACATGGCTTTCAAAGGCAGGTTGGTCCTCACCCCACGGCTGCTACTGAGTGCTCTTTTTGCAGACTTGGAACCCTGACAGGAACTTACCAACAGTGCAGTGGATGCAAAATGGTGATGCTCGAAGGGCAACTGAAGCAGCACGATCGAGAGAAGTGCAGTCGTGATGGTTCCGTGAGGCTTGAGAACCACTGACCGAATGTGGATCATATCATGTCCGTCATGCAGTCACGCCCCATGTTTAGTCATATTTAGTCATATTTGTCTCACCCACTTGATCCATCTCAACCACCATGTTGAGACCAAACCTTTGTTCCAATGGAAGTCCTCTGAGCAAAGCACTGACTTGATTGCAATTGAAGCTTCCCTTTTGTTGGAAAGATTCTGTTCTTGCGCAGGCCGATGACTAGAAGGGGGAATCGGTCCACAGAGTTCACTAAGGCGTGCTCCGCATGGCTGCATTGTTTGGGGACGGGAATGGTGATGGTTGCTGGAACTTAGGGTTGCAGAATACCGTGGAGATACTTCGAACGTCAATGTGATTTTTGAAAAAACGATGCACCTGCATTGCATAACATTCAGCATTTCAAAAACAACACTGGGCAAAGCATTCTTTGCGAAGAAGTTACGGTCCTCACCTCACTGCATCATGCAACAGACATTCGAAGTTGCTGGAGCTGGCGGCAGGCTCGCCAGACCTTCCTGCAGATGCACGCGGAAAGGTTTAAGAACAAACCATTCCAGTTGAAGTGCCAATGCCCGGCCACATGCAACTTTTCCTCCAACAAGAACTGCTCCGAACACGAATTCCTATCTGAGTGGAATGAGCATTTCGAGGCCAGTTGAAGTCTTGCACATTCTTTCTCCATGCAATCTTGCGGGCCCATCATTGCAAACCTGGATTCTGAAGGCCTTCGACTTTGCTACGTCTGCACGGGAGGCTCTTGAACTTGATGATGGCTGCATTTCAGCGTTGTTTTGTTCGGGCATTGCACAGGTTGCACAGGTTATTCCTTCATATTATATTGAGGAGGGCTATTTATTTGTTTTTTTTTTTTTTTCGCGGCAGGTTTTTGGATTTTTTTGTGGGTTCCTGGTTCTATGCTTTCCTGTTTCTCTGATTTTCTGCTTTTCTGCTTCTCTGCTTATCCTGCTTCTCTGCTTTCCTGCTTCTCAGCTTTTCCTGTTTCTCTGCTTTTCCTGCTTCTCTGCTTCTCTGCTTTTTGCTTTTCCTTCTTCTTTGCTGTTCTGCTTCTCTGTTTTCCCTGCTTCTCTACTTTTGTACTTCTGTGCTTTTCTACTTCTACTATTCTACTTTTTCTTTTCTTCAGTCATGTGTTTTTGCTGCTCTACTTCCTGCTCCTTTGCTTCTTTGTTTCCTGTCTTTACAGTCTCTATGTTTTTTATTTTCTGTTGCTTTATTCTGTTCTGTTCGTATCCTAAATGAAAGAAATCCTGACAAGAAACCCGACATGAAAACTTAAATGAACTCTAAAGAAACCATAAATGAATCCCTAAAGAAACTTTAAATGACACCCTAAATGACATCCCAAAGAAACCCTAGGCCCTAAACAACACTCTGAAAAAAAATAAATGAAACTTTAACTGACACTTTAGCTCAAACCCTAAATTGACATCCTAAAGCAACCGTAAATGACACCCTAAATTGAAACCCTGAATGAAACCCTAAATTGAAACCCTGAATGAAACCCTAAATTGAAACCCTAAATGAAACCCTAAAGAAATCCTGAAGAACCCCTAAATGAAACCCTAAAGAAACCCTGAAGAAACCCTAAATGACACGCTAAATGAAACCCTAAAGGAACCCTAAAGGAACCCACTTGAACGTTTTAGAAATCGTGAAAAGATTGAAAAGAAATTCTGATAAGAAACGCTGGAATGAAACCCCAACGAAAGCTTAAATGAACTCCTGAATGAAACCCTAAATTATAAATTGAAACCCCAAAGAAACCTTAAATGAGACCCTACATGAAACCCAAACTGAAACCCTAAAGAAACGCTAAATGAAGCCTTAAATGAAACCCTAAACGAAATGACACCCTAAATGAAACCCTACATGAAACCGTAAAGAAACCCTAAATGAAACCCTACATGAAACCGTAAAGAAACCCTACATGAAACCCTAAAGAAACCCTACAGTAAATGAAACCCTACATGAAACCGTAAAGAAACCCTACATGAAACCCTAAAGAAACCCTAAATAAAACCCTAAATGAAACCCCAAATGAAGCCCTAAATTGAAACCCTGAATGAAACCCTAAATTGAAACCCTGAATGAAACCCTAAATTGAAACCCTAAAGAAATCCTGAGGAACCCCTAAATGAAACCCTAAAGAAACCCTGAAGAAACCCTAAATGACACGCTAAATGAAACCCTAAAGGAACCCTAAAGAAGCCCTAAAGAAACCCATTTGAACGTTTTGAACTCCTGATAAGAAATCCCGATAAGAGACCCTACATGAAACCGGAAAAAAATCCCAAATGAAACTCTAAAGAAACCTGAAATGAGACCCTAAATGAAACCCAAACTGAAACCCTAAATGAAAGCCTAAAGAACCCTCAAGAGACAAACATGAACGTTTGAAGCACCAACATTTAGCAAATACCATGCAAATCAGAGGTTGAAATGCCAAAATATGACAACTACCGTGCAAAATGGAAGGCAAACATGGCCAAAATGTAGCAAATACCATGCAAAATGGGTTCTAGTTCCAAATTGTTGCAAATACAACCCAAATGTTGCTGGAAAAGAAAGCCAAAAAACAATCCAAAACCTGAGGCAAAAAAAAACAAAAACTATTCTACACCCTTATATCCACTCCTTCACTGCACTGCATGGCCAAACAGATGCAACAGATTGACTTTATCATGGTGCAGTGTTTTTCGGTTGCTCATGACCTCCGGACAACTTGCTTATGAGTTGCTAGGCCACTAGGCGCTTGAGTTTGTTTCACATGGCCCGCGCGACAGGTTCGTTCGATGCAACATAAGACGGTCGAGCTGGAGCAGATGACTGAGGATCTTCAGGAGCGCCTGCGTGAGGAACAGCGCTCAAAGCAGGAGGCCACCTGCAAAACCTTTTAAAGCGGCTTGATCCGTTTGTTCAATATTGTTCGATGGTTCATGTTTTTCTCCCTTACCACTGGGCAACGCCAATGCCAGCTGTGGTCAAGGTTGGATTCGTTGGATTGGTTGGGTTGGTCCCCTGCGAGGCCGAACACAAGCTCGAGGCAGCAAAGGTGGTGGAACAGAACTCGCACCATTTGATCAGCGAGCAGCTGGCAGTGAATGAAACATTGCTGCAGGAGGCAGCTCGTTTGAAGCTGGAGTTGAAGGCCTTGAATGAGGTTGAAACTTCGGCTCAGTGCGTGATATGTCGGGATGCGAAGCCATCCCGAGCTTTTGTTCCTTGTGGCCATGTTTGTGTGTGCTCATCGTGCTGGGATGAGTTCGACCGGAACAGCGGCAGATGCCCCAAGTGCCGTCGAGATATACAGTTTTCGTTTTCTGTCTTCATTTAGTCCATTGGCAGCTCTGGGCAAGGTGGAGGCGGTTTGCCATGTTGGCTAGCCAACACCAAGCAATAGTTGCTATTGACTATGTACCGCTATTGTTTGCGAAAATCTGGCGGACTTCGCGCTCGGCCGTCAGCCTGTATTGATTGAGTGGGGCTGTGCCGGTCTGCTTCCCATTTTTTCAGTATCCGATGAACTGTTCATATCAGGATTACATACATGTGGGCAAGATCCAGTGCCAGTCAGTGAATGCAGGAGGGAATCACACGACTTGTGCGCCGATCATAATTGCTGTAGGTGCATTGCACGCAATCACCAAAGGTCTCTGAAACAGTTGATTCTCTGAATGGCTCTTCCCCGCTCGTGCTGCCAACTATGGGCGCCTTTTGGGCTAAGGGAGCGCCTTTTGGGCTAAGGTGGCTATAAGCAACCTAAAACCCAAAGAGGGAGGGAAACATGTCGTTGCAGCTTCAAGCATACCTGAGGATTCGCTTGGGTGGTGGTAGCCTCAAGCAGAGGGATGGAGCTGACTGACAAGGTCTCCTAGATGTGAAGAAGCGGTGTCACTTCAGAGGATAGACCTTTCATTCATCTGTCATTCCTCTTGCTTTCCTGTCGTTTCCTGAAAGACTTCTACCAAGGCGTCCATTCCATTATTGCTCTTCGCGCTTGGTGGCTCCATGCAACCTCATGTGGCTTGAATCTGCGCTGTTGCTGTCCAGAGGGAGACGCAATCAGACACGGACAAGTCGTTCTAAATCATTCTAGAGGAAATTGCTTGGCGAGACCCGTGTTCATCCGCAGAAGTTTCGTTCTCCTGTTGCCAGCATTATCTCTAATGATCTCTAATCCATCCAAGTATCTCCAACAGCTATGTTCATTGACTTGGGCACCTGCCAGTTGGGATGGACCTGCGCCGTCCTCACTGCCGTGGGGATGTTTGCTATTTTAGTTCAGGCCTTGAAACGGGAGGAAACGGCAAACCATCAGACAAAATGAGGAGGCATGCGCGGCATGCGTGGCCGGAGCGGTGACCAAATTGTAAGCCCCAAGTCGCAACCAGTAAAACACCAGAAACCAAAGCATAGAACCAGCTTATCACCAAAATAGACGGAAATAAGAGAAGATCAAGAATGCATCAAGGATGCAGGATGCAGAAGCACAGTCGTTTCGGAGTGGCGCTGGCTTTCAAGCGCTGCCAAGCCCCTGAGCCGCCAGCTTGGCAGGTTGACCAGAGACTTGCGGCAGGCCCGGGGAGCTGTGTGGACACTTTTCCTCAAAACCAACCATCTTTATTATGTATTATTGATCTTATTGTCACAGCAAGAGACCCCAAACAGTGTGTAGTTAGGATTCTAAGGGGAGAGGTGGAAAGGACCTAAAAGCATCAGTGGCTGCAAGCTAGCAGGACAAGAGCGACCCTAGTAGTGAAAGCATGGTGTTCATTCAAGGTGGTCTCTGCAAGAAGAGGTACCAGGTAAGATTCTGCAAGTTCCTTTGTGAAGATCTCTGTAGAAGATCGTGCGCAAGATCTTTTTGAGAGGTTCGCTGTAGCAGCTGCTGTGCAAGATCCCTGTGTAAGGCTATCTGTACAAGGTGCCTATAGGAGATCTCCACAGAAGATCTTTGTAAGGATCTCGAAGTAGGATCTTTGTTCAAGCTATCTAAACAGGATCTCCGAGCAAGACCTCTGCTCTCTGCACCAGGTCTCTGTACAAGATCTCTATAAGAGCTCTGCTGGCAAGATCTCTGTAAGAGACCTCTTGGCAAGATATGTGCAGGTCTCTATAAAAGGTCTCTTGGCAAGACCTCTGAAAAAAGATCTCTACAAGAGATCTCTTGGCAAGATATGCAAGCTCTCTAAAAAATGTCTCTTGGCAAGATTTATGTACGAGACCTCTTGGCAAGATCTCTGCAACAGATCTCTATGCAATGTCTTTGTACAAGGTTTCCATAAGAGGCGTCCTGGCAGCCTGGCAAGATCCCCGTACAAGATCTCTAAAAGAGGTCTCTTGGCAAGACTCTTGAAGAGATCTCTGTACAAGCTCTCTATAAGAGCTCTTTTGGCAAGATCTTTGTAAGAGACCTCTTGGCAAGATCTCTGTACAAGATCTCTCTAAGAGCTCTCTGTACAAGATCTGTGGGCAAGCTCTATAAGAGACGTCCTTGTCAAGATCTTTGCGCAAGATTTCCTTGTATCCACATGAGCACCGCGCCACAGCGAGAGCGATCAGGCCCAAAGTGCCGAGAGGGTTGCACGAGCAATGTCAAAATTCGCGCCGTGCCTCAGTGAGTGCGATCTGACAGGCCCAAAGTGACGAGAGGGTTGCACGGGCAATCTCACAAGAGCCATTTTGAGTGGAATTTTATAGGGAAAATGCCGTACTCTTCGACCTTTTGTGCGAGCCTGCGCAGTCGAAATGCACATGGACATTTCAGAAGAGTAATTCTGCGTAGAAATTTATAGGAAAAATGTCGTGCGCTTCGACCGGGGACACCGTTTTGTGCGAGCCTGCGCGGTCGAAATGCACGTGGACATTTCAGGGGAGCCATAAAAATACAGGGAAAATGCCGGCTGCGACGGATACCACCTCGATTAAACACCGAGCCGTAACACTTACCGTAAGAAGCCCTCAGTGTAGCCACGCTGCTTGGGGAATTAAAATCCTTTAACATGTTTTCACATCTTTTACATCTTTGGCTTTGCCTAAAAGCAATAGTAAGGAAAAGCAGATTTAATTCGCAGTGCAACTGAACTGTCTGCAGGGGCTGTTTTCCTCGCGAGCAGCTAAGAATCGTTCACGCCGGAACAGCTGCTTCATGGTGGTCTGACGGTCTGACACACATTCACAGCAATGGGAGATGTTGTTGGAACTCATTCAATCAGAGCTTTCAGGTTTCATTCTCCTCATCTCTGGCCGCGCAGAAGATTTGGCCATTCTTCTTAGCCGCTGTGTGCTACTGAGAATGCGGCGTTATGAAAACAAGAAAAGATCAGTTGAGAAGATTGCTAAGGGCTCGCCAAGGCCCAAGCCAACGTAACGACGATTCAAACGGCAGCAGAGGAATTGCCTAATTGCTTGTCACTCCTTTCATTTTTGTCTCATGGTTAAGATTGGTTAAGCGAGAGAACAGAAGCTTGATTTACGATATTTTGATCTTTGGAGTCCTAGAGAGTTGAAAAGAGCGAAGTCTATCATTGCAGAGGCACAACGTGCCCATCAAGTCTTTCGTGCGTAGATGCCACAGACGCAAGTCAAAGTCCAAAAGCAATCGGCCTCGAATTACTTTCTTCGGGTGGTCCCCACTAACTGACATTCTATTTCAATTCATTTGACCTTCTATCTGACTTGTTCTGACTTCGTATGTGGCATTTAACCTGGCATAGTGTTCGGTTTTGGCAGGGCCCACAGTGGCTGCGTAGAAGAGGCTGGCGAGCGAGCTAGCGATGAAGCAGGCGATGATGTGCTGGCGGGGAAGCTGGCGATCACGTTGGCTATGATCTTGACAACTCGGCGACAAGGAGAAGGACGACGAAGGAAGAACACGAGCTGGATGTTGACATAAAATCTAGTGACCCTCACCTGGCAGCTGGGGAAAGAACTCACAAAACCTGTTTCTGTCGGAAGGCAGAGGATAGAGTTGAGGGACAGAACGACAGAGAATGAAAGAATGCAAATACCCCAAGACCATCACTTCCGATTTGGTTGGTTGCTTGGCAAAGGATTGCCTACTTGCGAGCGCAATGAATTGGAATCATGGTGGTGCTGAGTGGTGTCAGATATACTTCTTCGATTCTTGATGATGCCTGAGGTCGCAACGTGGTTGACGTCGCTAAATGGAAGAAATCGTGTATGCAGCCCCAACCAGGAGGCAGGACATAAGTCCTTATTGATTTTCAGGAACGTGTCATGCAACATGCTTTATTTGTTTGGGGGGATGTTGTGGGACTTTCCCTGCCACGATTCCGCCTCAAGTGGTCTGACCATCTTCCTGCTCCACCTCGCCCTCGTTTTTGTTGCTTTCGCCCTCCCCATCATCATGATCATCATCATCATCATCACCATCATCATCGCCATTATCACCGTCATCGTCATTATCATCATCACCATCATCATCATCATCATCATCGTCATCGCCATCGTCATCGTCATCGTCATCATCATCATCATCATCATCATCATCATCGCCATTATCACCGTCATCGTCATTATCATCACCATCATCATTGCCCACACTGTGTTTTGTCCTCATCATGTTCATCTTCTTCAATGCCATTGCAATCATCATCATGATCTTCATGATCATCCTGAGTATGTTGATCATCATGATCATCGTTATGAAAAGCTTCATGATCATCAGTGTCATTGCCTTCGCCATCATCGTAGTCGTCGTCGTGGTCGTCGCCGCCGCGGCCGTCGTCGCCGCCGCCGCCGTCGTCGTCGTCGGCGCCTTCACAATCACGCTTATTGTCACGGTTTTTGGCATGGTCATTGGTCATCATCAATTTTTTTGATTTTGTTGTTCGCAGTCACTTTCACCCCGCGTCCAAACTTCTATTTTGAGTCTCATCGGTTTTGCTGACCCTTCATTTGTTTAATGTTCTTCCTGAACAACCATCGTCGTTCTTCATCATTGATTCTCTCACATCGCCGTTGCCATTTTCGGCCCTTTATGGCCGTTTCCCCCGGCCATTTCTAAAAGTTACATTATCGACAAAAATATTTTTCATGCACCCTAGCCCTCAAGTTGATACGGTATGAAGTGTGTGCGGAATTGATGACATGTTATTTTTTCCAAAGAGGGTTCGCCCGCATGTTCTCCGATGGCCCATGTTCTTTTTGCAAAACGAAGGAACGGGTTTTACCCACTTGTTTATGCATGAGGTTCTTTCCATCTTGGTGTTTGAAAATCGATCGGTAGACCTGTTATAGTGCCGATTGGCGTTTCGCAGCTCCTGGACTTCCAATACTCGGGCTACTCATCCTATCACAAACGACTCTCGGCAGAGACAAGAATTGACATGAAACGATGCGTGTTCCATGTCTATCCCTGTCCATGTCTTTGTTCTGTGACATTGTGTGTTTGGTATGCATGTAGGTAGATCTTTTTATGTGGGGTGTGTGCCCATAAATGTCTGTGCATCTTCTATTGGGCAGGTGCACAAGTATGCAGATGTGTATGCATTGTCATTTTTGTTTCTCATTTTTTGGCAGGTGTAAGGTATAAGTATGAACATAAATAAATCAGTACACCAAACAAACGTACGTGAATAGATAAAGAGATAAACAGGTATATTAGTTTTTTGTATATGCAAATGTACATTTACATGCACAAAAATCCTATCCGTATACGTATGGGTATACCTGAAAATAAATATACATAATATATACGTATATAGTATATGTATACATCTACATACGTATACGTATACATATACGTCTACATATGCACATATATATTTATATATGTATATATACATATGCATATATACATGCATATGCATATACATTATACATATGCGTATGCATCTATGTGTGCGTGTCTACATGTGACGTTTTTGAATTTAAGTGAGCACAAGGCCCCCCAGAAATGAAGTCAGTAAGAACATCGAAAAACATAAAAAACACATTATTATTAGACCCTTGACACAAAACACCCCTCAATCCCGGTGTCTTGAACACTTTTATAGTTTTTTTTTCAGTTGCTTGAAGTGAAACAAGTTCCGAACAAGTTAAGTAGTGTGGGATGGTTCTGGCAGCGCGTTGCCCCCACAGACTTCATTTTTTTACATGTTCAATATCCGATAGTTTTGAAGTAACTGGATATGAATACCTGGAACCCCAAAGTTGCTCTAATTTCTTGCCGCATTTGCAATAACTATTGCTTTTCGTATCTTTTCGTTTTGCTGGGGCCAAAAGTTCTCGCCTGAAACAGAAACCATCAACTTTTGATCAAACCACGGTAAAAAGGTCTGAATTTGTCTCCCAACATCAGCCCACATCCCAAAGTCACAGTCTTTGCTGCGCACAGAGCACGGGGAGAACGTGGATGCATGCGCCGCATGCCCAAAAATCTCAGTTTGTTCACATTTTTTCAGTTTGCAGCTTCGCTTAAATTCAACAACATCCAAATTTATGAGATCTTACAGCCACAGACTGAGTCCGGACCAAGGAATTATTCCCCACCTGCCAGGTGAGGGTTGTTAGATTTTATCAGAGTTGTTCTTCTCCTCCTCTTCTTCCTCCTCCTCCTCGTTCTCCTCCACCACCTCTGCCTCCACTTCCATGTCCACTTCCGCCTTGCTTCGCCAAGCTCTTCGCCAACTTCCGCACGCAGTGGCCACTGCTGGACCTCAACTGCAAGGGTCTGAGCGCACTGGGCACCGCTGGACCTCCACCTGGGACCCTCCGAGCTCAGTGAGCACCGCTGGACCTCAACGGCCAGATAGAATGCCAGAAGATATGCCGGATAGAATGCCAGATAGAATGTCAGAAAGAATGCCAGAAGATATGCCAGATGATATGCCAGATAAAGTGCCAGAATGTTTGCCAGATAGAATGCCAGATAGCATGCCAGAAAGTATGCCAGATAGAATGTCAGATAGAATGCCAGAAGGTATGCCAGATAAAGTGCCAGAATGTTTGCCAGATAGAACGCCAGAAGTTTGCCAGATAGAATGCCACATAGAATGTCAGAAGATATGCCAGAATATATGCCAGATAAAATGCCAGAAGATATGCCAAATAGCATGCCAGAAGGTATGCCAGATAGAATGTCAGATAGAATGCCAGAAGGTATGCCAGATAAAGTGCCAGAATGTTTGCCAGAAGGTTTGCCAGATAGAATGCCAGATAGAATGTCAGAAGATATGCCAGAAGATATGCCAGATAGAGTGCCAAAAGATATGCCAGAACATATTGCAGAAGATATGCCAGGTAGAATGCCAGAAGATATGCCAGATAGAATGCCAGAAGATATGCCAGATAAAATTCCAGAAGATATGTCAGATAGAATGCCAGAAGATTTGCCAGATAGAATGCCAGATAGAATGTCAGAAGATATGCCAGAAGATATGCCAGATAGAGTGCCAGAAGATATGCCAGAACATATTGCAGAAGATATGCCAGGTAGAATGCCAGAAGATATGCCAGATAGAATGCCAGAAGATATGCCAGATAAAATTCCAGAAGACATGTCAGATAGAATGCCAGAAGATTTGCCAGTAACAAAACGTATAGATGTCATGGTGGGGATAACTCGAAGTAAAATATTTTTTCATTTTTTCGTTTTTCACGTTTTTTTCCTGTTTCATATCATTCTCCCCCGATCATGTGAAATTATCATTTTCATTTTTTCATTCTCCAATTATGTGAAAATGTCATTCTCATTTGTTTGTCGTGTTTCCCTCATGTGCAGTTAATATTATCATGTTCATACTTGTTCCTTTTTTGCATTTTGCCATCATGTACTTGTCATTCAGCATCGAAAATGAATCGAAGCAAAGTCAGAAACGGAAAATATTATATACAATATATATATATTATGTATATATATATATATCAAATGAGAAATTAAATAAAAAGTAGGAAAAATGCGACAGCAAAACTGAAAAAAATACACATATACCTTAACCCACACAAAAAATCAAAACAAAAACGAACATGAAAACAAAAATATGAAAAGGAAAAATTAAATGAAAAAACACGAACAAATAACGAAAAAGTAAACGAGAATGAAAAAGGAAATTAAAAAAGAACGAAAATGAAAACGACAATGAAAAAGGAAACGAACAAAAAAAATGAAAACGAACATGAAAAAGGAAACGACAAAAAAACGAAAAAACCTATGTTCCAGCTTCCAGCTCAAAGGGGCTGGTTCCAAAAAGGGTTTGAGAAAGGGTTTCGGAAAATGGGAGCGGGGATGAGAACACTTTATTCAGGGGAGGGCCCTAAATAAAGAGATCAAAAATATGTTGAGTGACTCCAACCAGGGTTGCGCAAGAAAGGTTTTAATAGGGTTTTTAATACGGTAGTCCAAGAAATAAAGGTAAACGCCCTCTAAAACTTTGTTCTTCAAAAGCAATTAAACTACCAAATCTTCTATTATATTTTCCTATTCAATTCCCCATTGATCACATCCCAGAAACTCTACTGCAAGAAAAGAACATCTTACCACAAAAAAAACGCCACCAAAGTTGGCATACCTTATTCACGGTGAGTTGATTATTTCCGCCAAAAGAACGGTTTACTTTATTCAAAAGTGTATTACTAATCCCTTGTGAACCGTAGGTACATTTATTCTCTACATTTTCCGTACATATTCACATTTTCTTGCATTTTTCAATACATGTACATAGGCACACACACACATTATACATACACGTATACATATGCATAGACGTAAGCGTTCAACCACATGTGTGTATAGCTGCAATTGCAGCATCGGGAGTCAAGTAGATTTGTTCAGCATTGACACACATATGGTCTATTGATAGGCCCAACCGGCCCAACCGGCCCAACCGTACGCATGAGATCGCATGAGTATGTCTGCGAGATGTGGAAGTAGAATGAAGATGAATGAAGTAGAACATATGTAGAACATATGTTTGATTTCGAACGCGTCTGTGGCGTCGAGGCTGCGAACTCCATGGAGCCCTGGACTCCATTCAGCATCATCGTAGTTTTTATGCTTGCCATCCTCATGGTTGGATTGCTCAGTTTTCGAGAGTTACAGATGTTTGGAACTGCAGACATCAAAATAATCCAGAGTTTGAAGTCGAACGAATGCAATGTTTACAATTCGTGTTTATTTCTGTGCAAGCTGTATTGGCAGATTTCCCTTTGCGTGCAAAAATGGGTGGACCAGAAACGGCATCTTCAAAGCCCAGGAGTACTCTCAATCGGTTTCATCTCCAACGCTGGAAACCTGGTGACAGTCGGTGACAGTGACACGTTCAGACGGCACAGGTTGATTCAGACGGCTTGATGTTTATTGATTATTATATTGATTATTATATTTATTATTATATTGATGTATATTGATTTATATTGATTTATATTGATTTATATTGATTTATATACTATTTATATACTATTTATATTGATTTGATCGCCAAGGTTTGTTGGGGTCGCAAGTTCCACGAGGCGTATTGTGCTCCGGAGAGCTGCAGAAACGCGTTGATTTTGATGTAGATTCTGAATGATTCTGGTGTTTCTAGTAGACTTGAACGGGGTTTTGATGGCTTTGGTGTTTTGTATATTTTAGTTTTAGTATTATTGTATTAGCATTATTTGAGTCATTTTGAAACCTTCTCCCCAGTTTCTGCCAAAGTTTTCCCTTCCTATCTTATTTCCGTTGTTTGTGGGTCTATTTGTGGTTGCTGGTTTTGCTCTGGGTAGTGAGCGCGAGCAAAATCATTCCCGTAAGACAGGAGTGTTGTATATGTTGCATTTTTCCCCACCTGCCAGGTGAGGGTTGTTAGATTTTATGTCAGTTGCCTCCTCCTGCCTCCTCCTGACTCCTGCCTCGTCCTCCTCCTCCTCCTCCTCTCCTCCTCTCCTCCTCGTCCTCCTCGTCCTCCTTGTCATCCTTGTCGTCCTTGTCGTCCTCGTCGTCCTCGTCGTCCTCGTCGTCCTTGCTCAACTGCGACCCGCGATCCACAGTGTTCTCTGCCGGACCTCAACCACGACCACCCACGCCCAGTGTTCCCTGCCGGACCTCATCTGCGAGTATCCATGCCAAGTGTTCCCTGCCGGACCTCAACCGCGAGTATCCATGCCAAGTGTTCCCTGCCGGACCTCAACCGCGAGTATCCACGCCAAAAGATATGCCACATAGAGTGCCAGAAGATATGCCAGATAGAATGTTAGAAGATATGCCAGATAGAATGCCAGAAGGTATGCCAGATAGAATGCCAGATAGAATGCCAGCTAGAATGCCAGAAGATATGCCAGATAAAGTGCCAGAATGTTTGCCAGATAGAATGCCAGCAGATTTGCCAGATAATATGCCAGAAGATATGCTAGATAGAATGCCAGATGGAATGCAAGAAGATTTGCCAGATAATATGCCAGAAGATATGCCAGATAGAATGCCAGATGGAATGCCAGAAGATATGCCAGAACATATGCCAGAAGATATGCCAGAAGATATGCCAGAACATCTGCCAGAAGATATGCCAGAACATCTGCCAGAAGATATGCCAGGAAGAATGCCAGAAGATATGCCAGATAGAATGCCAGATCGAATGCCAGAAAATATGTCAGATAGAATGCCAGAAGATTTGCCAGTAACAAAATGTATAAATGTCATGGTGGGGATCACACGAAGTAAAGTAATTTGATATTTTTTTCTGGGCTGTATTTGAGTGTGGTGGTTTCTATTAAATGTTTAGGTTCTACATACTAGCTATACTTCACAAATTTGAAGTTGCTTCTAACAGAAGACTTCCAAGATGTTCATGGGCAACAGTTTACAAGAACTTGCAATGAATTGCAGCAAGTTGCAACATTTGTATACCTGCAACACATTTTTCCTTTCAACATGTGATTTACACATCAATAAATTGTATTAAATTGTTGTATACTGTTGTAGGTAATACCCCCTGTACTTGCCGTGACTTGGCGTCGCAGGTCGTCGGACGCTGTTTCTTCCTCATCGATCCCACGCTGAGGTGCCGACATCGGACACCACCTGGCGACATGGAAACATATGGAACATATGGAAACGAAACGCTGGAGACACAGTGACGAATATCTAAATATCATTCAAATTACATTCAAATTATGGAATCATTTCAAAATTTTCAAGTACAATCAAATCTACAATCAACGAATGGACTAACGGACAGTTCTTGAAGGCAAAACTTTGAAGAAATAACTTGGACATGCTTCTAGCACCTTTAGCACCTTTCTTTCGAATTCTTTCGCGATCTTCAGAACGTAGCGGCATAATCAGTTTTTCTTTGGTTCTTGCTTTGGTTGTGTCTTGAAGCTTCGCCTGTCATTGATGAAATTGATGATGTAGTTTTTCGCCGTTTAAGCATGGGGTCCATGGGGTCCATGGGGTCCATGGGGTCCATGGGGTCCATGGGGTCCATGGGGTCCATGGGGTCCATGGGGTCCAAGGGACAAGGGCTTGTTGGCCAAGCTCTTTCTTGACGCCTTTGAGGGGCAGTGCCTTGACATGCCTTGACCGGCGCTGGTGTGAGTTGAAGAGTGGCATTCGAGTCATCCATTTATCAAATTTATCAAAAACTCCACATCGAGATGTCCGGTTTTGCTCTAACTTGTCACAGCATTGGCCCTTTCAAGTCAGAAGTCCTGCACGCATGGTGTCAGACAGTTATTTTTATTTGTAAGAATTACACCCCCGTAGACCCCAAACAGTTATTCCATATCCATTGCAGCGTCTGTGTGCATGTTTGGCGTTATACTGGCTCCTGATGCTGGCAATTTTTGATCCATGTCAATTGAGAACAGCATGAATCACAAGCAACAGTTTCTCATACCATGCGGTTTCAATTTTTGCCACGCCATTTGCATCTGAGACAATAAGAGGGAGACAACGTAGGAGACAAGTGGGAGACAAGAGGTGAAATGCAAAAAAACATGGTGGAACATTATTTTATCTTGAGACAACAAGAAGACACAAAGGGATTTAAAGAACAGAGACAACACGAAACACGAATGAAATCGTGATGAAACTAGAACAGGACACCCCCACTAGGGAATACACATGATCGGAGACAAATTCATCGGAGACAGATCAAGTACTAGACAAATGGTGAGAGACAAATGATGGCAGACACGCAAAGGTGCACAGGCGAAAGAGCCAGACACCACCACTAAGGAGACAACTAAATTGGGATACAAACAATTTGGGAAACACATTGCGAGAGACGCATGATGAGAGACAAGTGAAAGCAAAGAACAGACGTCCGGAGAGCCGGACACCACTAGACAGAGTGGGCAACAAATGAAGGGAGACATGTAAATTCAAAGAGAGAAATCCGGAGAGCCGGGCACCACCAGCCAGACTGGGAGACAAATGAATTGGAAGACAGCCAGAGAGCCGGACACCACCTGGAAAGAGGCGGGCACCTCTTAAGAAGGAATTGATACACATTGATAACCCCAAAAGTAAACTGTTTGGGGAAAAATCGCATTGTGTGGTTTGTGGTCCAATTTTTCACCAGGCCCAGCTATTCTGTGAGGCACGGTGGCTTCAGGAACACCCGGACAAACACCATGCAAGAGCGGCGCCCCCAGAGACACAATTCCCACGAGTACATTTTGTTTTCATTCAGATGACTTCTACTAACCCACGAAAAAGATAGAAGAGTTAATGATCACCATGTTAGTAGGATTTTACTTTGGAGGGTATTTTTTTTCCGTCGTTAATTTTTTTCCGGGGATTTGTGGTTGCCAGCTTCTCTGCTTTTCTGTTTTTCGAACTGGTTTATCCTAAACCAAGCTTAAACAAATCCCTGTATAGTTTCCGGAACCAAACCTAAATAAGCCTTAAAACCCACCCTGACAGGTCCTAAACCAACCCTTAAAAGCACCTAAATAAACCCTACTTTGAAAGCCAACCATTAAGAAACCTAGAACCAACTGCAACAAGACCTAAAACCAGCTCCAACAAAAACCCTAAACTAACCCTAAACCAACCCTAAATGAACCCTAGTTGCAAACAGCCATGTGACATTAAAAAATCCAGTGCCAAAATGTTGTTTCGTCAAGTTTCGTCGAACTCAATCAAACATGTTGCAATGGCAGCTTCCCAGCAAAATGTTGCAAATACAATGGAACATGAGAGGTTCGAAACCAAGTACCGTTGAAATGGCAGCTTCCAGTTCCCAAATGCTGCAAATAGCACCAACATGTTGCAAATACAATGGAAAATGGGAGGTTCCAACAGAAATGTGTGGCAAAAATTGTTGAAATGGCAGCTTCCAGCTCCAAATGCTGCAAATAGCAAGGAAAATGGACAGAACAAAAAAAAATCACCAAACCGATAAAAAACCCAAACAATTTCGGACCCTTTTACTTTTCTATCTTTTTGGGGTTGCTACAGTATGCTATAGATATGCTATAGTTTCATTCACACTTTCATTCAGCTAAGCAGCTTGTGCTCAAGGCTAATGCAGAAGGGCGAATCTATGGCGATGATACCCGGGGCCTACCAGGAGGCAGTTCCATCACAGCCATTTTTGGCGAAGATGTTCCAAAATGTTCCAAAATGTTCCAAAGATTGGGGAAGATTGAACTTGTTTGAATCGCCAAACTTGTTTCAACTGTTTCAACTTGTGTTCGGATTGACCCAAGAATACTCAAGACTTCAGATATCTTCGGATTGTGGAATGGCATTAGCCTGAGACCGGGTAAGTGCAACAGAAAATGCAACGAGTTGCTGCACCGTTTTGACAGCGACTTACACAGCAACTTGCGCAACTTGCGGCTCAAGACGATACCAGAGAGAGGAAACATCTGGAAACAGTGCAGTGTTTCAAGGAGGCACGGTCTCTACTGTGGGCATTGTGGGCATTGGTACCATTGGGAAAGCCTGACAAGATGCTTTCGATGGTTTTCTCTCACCTAACAAGATGCTTTTAGCACATTTTATGATGTTCTTAGCATCTCTGTCACTTGCGTTTTTTCTTTTCCATTCGTTTCCTGCGAACGTTCCTGATCTGCTTTGCGCACTCTTCAAACTCTTTTCTCAGCTTCTATTTCTCTGTGTGTTCTCCGCTTCTTTGCTTTGCCACCTGACTGCTTTCACTGTTGTGCATGTTGTGCTGATTGCGTGATCTCGCAGCATGTGGCACTTGGTGGAGCCATCAGATGTCAGCATATGTCAGGAGATGTCAGCAGTCTGAGAACTGTGAAAAGTGTCAGGACATGTCTACCGAGTGTCTACTTAGTGTCTACCGAACCCCGCGTTTCAGGCCAAGGATGCCTCCCAGAAGGCGTCGAGACGAAGAGGACGATTGGAAGCGACTGGAGTTTACAAGAATGAATAGACTCGAATAGACCAAATAAACAGAATTAGACAGATACAATATACAATACAGATACATTAAATATAACATTCTATAACAATTATATAACAACTATATAACATTAGAACATATTGGAACTGAATTAGCAAAGAAATGAATCAGGATGCGAGAGCCTGGGACTGATACTGGAAGGCGCTTGAAACACGACGTCTCCTCATCCTCACCACCATGAGATACAAAAGCGAATTTGAGAAGATTTAGATATGCATCAAACCATATCAAACCTGATTTAGAAATCGAACGTTTCATTTTTTTCGTAGATTTTGAAAGGCCAAATTGTGGTAGCCAATTTTCCCAATGTTATTTGTAACATGATGCATGTGCTTTTTAGCAATGCGCCCTGAAACCGACAAACTCAAGATATCTCAAGATATCTCAAGATGCTATCCAGGAGGATGACGATGCTTTTGGGAGTGCAGGCTCCCAATTCTCCGGGAGTGAAGATGAGTCGAAAGAGGAGACACGGAAGTTGCCAGAAGCAAACGAAGAAAGTGCCAAAGAAACGGAAGAAAGTCATGAGAAAAATGAGAAAAGTCATGAAGAAACGGCAAAAGTCGAAAAAGTCATGAAGAGCTCAGGAGAGCTAAGCCCAAAGAGCCCACAGAGCCCACAGAGCCCGGCCACTGCAGATGTGGACAAAAAGGACTCAAAGGAATACACAGAGAATGAGAAGATCAAGGAGGATACGGAGGATAAGGAGGATAAGGAGGACAAGGAGGACAAGCACAAAGAGAATGAAGAGAATGAAGAGAACGAAGAGAATGAAGAGAATGAAGAGAATGAAGTTGGACAAAGGGTTCGAGCTGAGAAAAGCGAAGACGGCGAAGACCTTGAAGATAGCAAGGAATATGCAGACGCAGAATCTCACCTCTCCGATGAAGCTGGTGCTCGAGTCCCCCAAAACAGCTACTACTTCGACCATGATGACCGTGGCACAGACGATCAGGAAAGAAGAAAAGAAGAGGAGAAGGAGAAAGAAAGGAGAAGAAAAGGAGAGAGAAAAAGTGATAAACCAAGCCCCGATGATGATGGACAGTGGCTGCATGACATGTACTTCAAAATGTTGGAAGAACCACCAAAGGCCAAAGCGCCACGACCTTGGAGAGGCAGAGCCACAAATCCCCAAGATGATATGGGAGAAGTCGGAGAAGACGAAGATTGGAACCAAACTTATGACTCCTGGAGTAGTTTTGGACGGAGAGGCAAGGGTAAAGGCAGGGCCAATGATTCGCGTTGGAAAGAGGATTGGAGAAACGATGACGATTGGCAGGGCTGGGAAGCCAAGGACAAAGGCACCGATAGAAACGAGAGAAGCCAAGGGCAAAGCAACAAAAACTCTTCGAGTTGGTATTCCCAAGGCTATTCCCAAGGAGACTATGGAGATGACTATGGAGACTATGAACATAGCTATACCTCCAAGACCCAGAGGCAGAGGCAGAGCAAGCACCAAGGATACCAAGGTTGGGACGACTGGGATGAAAGCCATGAAAGCCATCAGAAAAGTGACCGAGAAAGACCTGCGCGACCTGCGCGATCCGAGTGGGATGGCTCCAAATGGGACGTGGATGAGGTCGAGGATGGCGAGTGGGTCTGGAAGCCCCGCTCCAAAGAGTCCCGCGAGCCTCGCGCGCCTCGCGAGCCTGAGTCTTGGGACCACGACCGAAGAGATGGAAGAGATGATCGATTCGATCGATCGAAAGACGAGAGAAGCTCGAAAGAGTCTTGGACGTCTTGGAGACCAACTCGACGTTAGGTGATGTTAGGTGTATGGTGCATCAGTGCATCATGGTGCGGCGCAGCCTTAGCGGCATCGAGGGGCTTGATTTCCTTTTAGCCGCTGTGGATGCTGTGGGCTGTAGCGGCTGTGTGCTAAACTTTCTGGTGGCTTGAAAAAAGTTCTCAGCGCTCGAGATTGCATGATTTGCATGAAATATTGTTGAGTTGTGTTTGCGACTTTCTGCGTCGATCTTTCAATGCAGGTGCCAGAAACCTAGTACTGCTTGTAACTTGCATGCTGAGATGGAGCAAGAGCAGGTCAAAGTGGCATGAGGTGGCATTTGAGTCTTTACATCAGATTTTTTACATCGCATTTTAAATTTTGTCAACAAAAAAACTATTGCATAATGACTACATTTCATGAATCGAACCGAATCGTTCGCTTCTTATTTGTCAGGCCACGGCATTCTCCTACGGCCGGGAGCGTGTGGCGACTGCCTGAGAGCGAAAAAGTGACATTGAAATCTCTATGAAATCATGAAGAAATATCATGAAATATCATTATGATTTCGATACGTTTCAACATACGTTTTCAAGATCTGTCAGATCATGTCAGATCTGTCAATACTTTGATAGCAAAGCCATAAATGCTGCATTAATAAACTCAAGCTGCACATATTCCGTTGCTTTGATTTGATTGATGGTTGACCAACTGAGGCGCTCTCCAAAAGGAAAGGCTTTGTGAAGTGCCCGTGGAATTGGACCAATCATTGACCAATCATTGATCGATTTCATAGCGAGTCAACAGATGCAGACTTAGAGAGATCCAGCGGAGTGTCCAGGTACTGCTTGAAGTATGGCTACAGATTGCATCCTGTGTCAGACACTTTGACACTACATACAGACTCTCTCCATACACTCTCTACATACCCTCTCTACAGACTCTCTACATACATCTTCATTCTCATTCTCTCTCTCTTTCTCTTTGTGTCTCTCTTTTCTATACTGCTTATGTTTCTTGAGCGCACTTTTCAATGCGCTGCTTCAAAGAACATGTTTTTCTGCTGCAAGAAGCACAACAGGGAATATATTCCCACCAAAAAAGACAAAAACTGCATACATCTGTATACCTGCCCTTTATTCGTGCTGAGGTATACGTTTGGGGAAAGCGAGACGTGGGCACCTGAGTGCAAACGCTTTTTGACTCTACGATCCAGGAGACTGCACACGATCCAAACGCCGATAGGAAACTGCCAAAAATTGAGATACTGAAAATATCTGAAAATACTAAGAGGAACTATGAGGAACTATGAGTAACTATGAGATACTGACAGGAGAGGAACTCTATGAACAGGAACTTAATACTGAGAGGAGAGTGAAGCCCGTGAAGACTGTGATGAAGACTGTGAAGAGGATTCGCAATGGTTCACAGAGGTATTACACCATGGGTGGCTTTGAGCAGCTCCGGTTTTGGCAGCCTCCTCAGCCTTATATGCAGTTTGTCAAAGCCATTTTGTAGCATGGGGAAGGGGAGCCTTTCACTAAGGATTTGGTTGAGATCCCAACTCCAACCACTGCATATTGAACGTTTCATAGGACTTGCGCATGTTTCACAAGCCACCTAATAACATCTACGTTCTTGTTCAACCGCGTCCCAACTTTGAACTCTTAAACCACGAGAAAGGACGAGCTCTTAAACGAAGTAGCCTATATATATATATATACACAGTTACTACCTGAATATAGATAACCAACTAACATTATTAATTATGTATATGCACATGTGTAGCATATACATTGCCTCATCACTATCTATATACTCCTTACACCCTACATATCCAACCAACAACCTACACATGTTTCATAGCGTACGTATATACGACTCATTGCATAGCGTGCCCATATATAATATACGTATGTACTTCCTGTAAACGCCCTAAATAGTCTCCATATACTGCCTATAAACGGGACATCAACCACTTACAGCTGCAGAAACACTGCCCATGGACTGTTGTTGTTGGGACCCCCCCCGCAGGCCAGAGAGGGGGAGAGGGGGTACCATTTGGCTGGGAGGCTATGGTGATCCCTGCTCATATGTATACATATACACATACATTCATTTCCACTTCATTTCCACATGTACACATATATGGCACTTTGAAAATTGACTGTAGCTGCAACTTTCACAACCTGAAATGGCAAAAGATCACAAGATATCACAAGATTTCTTTGTTGTGTCGTTTCTGTCGTTTTTGTCGTTTCAGAGCTTGAGGCTCAATCGAAAAGGCATCCCGACGGTCGCGTTTTGGGGACTGCCGTTGCAGCCTCACAGAGAGTTCGTAGAGACTCTGGAGAGACGAAATCTTGTATTGTGTTCTCGTTCGTATTGTGTTTTATTGTGTCCTCTTCTCGTGTGCTGAGTCGAATTCAGGTGGTGTCCTTTGCTACCGAGAAGCAACGTCGAGGCACTCACAATGCCCAACACTTCCCATTTGGTATGAGTTAGATTTTTTCAAAATGTCACTTATTGTCACTTAGCAGTGTCATGGATTACAGTTTTTAATTGTCTCTCATGTCGTCTGGATTTTCATCCCTGAGTTTTAACTGTGTGCATGGGATATGCAGACAGTGCAGACTGTGCAGATGTTGACTTTTGTGGGTCCAGCGCTGGAGTTGCCACAGATTTCCGATCCAACGCCAGAAGAGGTGGGCCGAGTCCGCAGAGTTAACATTTCTGTGGCTGACCATGTGAAAATCATCTGAATATATGCATTTATGATCATTTATATGTACTTTATGTATCTTTATGTATCTTTATGGTGCATTTGAATCATATACTTGCTGAATTTCTGAGACCAGTTCTGGTCCTCATTTAACAAGTCTGAAAGGATAGTCTGCGTCACAAGTAAGTGTGTAGCTATTTGTTCATGTTCCAATGCAACAAATCTGGACTGCGATCGATGTTCAGAAACGGTCCGCTCCGATGCAGGTTGACAAATGGCATGCCAAGTATACAGATGCTCTTGTGGCTCAGCTGAAGTTTGCTGCGTGGGACTTATTGCTTTCTGGAATCTCATGGCACATGGTTGCAAGTACATCAAGTACCAAGATCAATCTGCAGGAAGAACATGTTAAGCCGGATCCTTGCCTGTTTAGTCCATGTACATATCTATACTTGAGATTTGTCTCAAGTACTTCTTGAATTGGTGGATAACGAATCAACATCACTGCTACCTTAGCAATATTATTTCAGGGCGGGGTTTACGTACCAAAATAATTTTACCAAAATAAGTTTGAATATTTAGCGATTTCCAAGAGGTTCAAGATAGGGTCAAGCTTGCACCAAAATATTTTTTCACTGGAAATTATTTCAACGGGGTCAGACCCCGGTGAAATAATTTTCAGCGTGTAGGTGGAAATTATTTTGAAATATTTTTTCGGGATATTCCATCCCTTTAAAAAATACACGGGGATATCAACCAGGTTCTGGAATAAGAAGAAATTTTGTTGAATCATTTTCCTAAGGGGTGGGTCTACGGATGTGCATGTTGGAATATGCGAGTCATAATCTAACCCGTCAAAATAGTTTTGAAATAATTTCGTATATATAAACTTCAAGTGGTCAGAAAAAAACACCTGTAAGACCTTCTCCCCTTGGGAATTCCCGCAAAATGGTGTTCAATAATTATCTTCAACATTGATTTTTTCCTACATATTTCCATGTTTTCATACTTCTCCCTATTTCTCCCATATTCCTTTCATGTCTTGTCAAAAAAAACGGTGGGAATGAGTGGGAAAGGGCAGGCATTCGGTTTTTATAGGTTTTTGAGTTTTTGCCCAGCCTCTGGGCGAGTTGGGTCGTTCTGGCAGCTGTTTTTTGAGAAGTGCAGGGCATCTCCAATACCCCTAAAATAATTTCTCCCCTTGAGAAATCCCACAACATAGTATTCAACCTGGCTCTTTCCTGTAGTGGTTTTCCTAACCTTTCATATTTTCCCTTATTTCGCCATATTTCTCCCATATTCCTTTCATTTGCCTCCAAAGAACTCTCGATGGTAAGCATTCGGTTTTTATAGGTTTTTGATTTTTTGAGTTTTTGCCCAGCCTCTGGGCGAGTTGGGTCGTTCTGGCAGCTGTTTTTTGAGAAGTGCAGGGCATCTCCAATACCCCTAAAATAGTTTCTCAAAGAACGTTTTTTGGTTGCGGGTTGCAAACTTTGATGCGTTCCTGGTGCAATTTAAACTGAAGGGAGATTCTAGGATGACTAGGAGGAAGCACACATGAAACATGGTGTTTGAATTTATTTGCGCTTCCGGATTTGCAACGCATCGATCTTAAAAAACAACAAGACATACCTAAATAATAGTAAAACGCCTTTGCAAAGCCAACACTGTGCAGGATTTCCTGATAATGTACTTTGTGATTTTCTTCAATTCTGTTTCGGTAGGCTACGCAATGCTACGCATTCCCTTTTGTCGCTAGATTTTTTGATAGGGGTATCGGGGTATCCTTCTGTTATTCTGAGATTTCTGATGCGTGTTGATGGGGCATTCTCTGAAGGCATCCCTCATATTTCAAAACATGTTTTAAACGTTGAGTTGGAGTGGAAGGGGGGTGGAGAACACTTGTCGTTGAAGCTTGACATGTTGAACCCCCTACAAAATAATTATGTGAAAGGGGGTCAATATAATTTTGAAATAACATCCTACTAGGGAACCACTGGGGAACACATTTTGACGGGGGGGGGGGAGTTCATGGAAATTATTTCCATATATCTATAGTTCCCCACCTGCCAGGTGAGGGTTGTTAGATTTTATGTCAGTTGCCTCCTCCTCCTCCTTCTCCTCCTCCTCCTCCTTCTCCTCCTCCTCCTCCGCCTCCTCCTGCCTCGTCCTCCTCTCCTCCTCCTCCTCGTCCTCCTCGTCGTCCTCGTCGTCCTCGCCGTCCTTGCTCAACTGCGACCCGCGATCCACAGTGTTCTCTGCCGGACCTCAACCACGACCATCCACGCCCAGTGTTCCCTGCCGGACCTCAACCACGACCATCCACGCCCAATGTTCCCTGCCGGACCTCAACCACGACCATCCTCGCCCAGTGTTCCCTGCCGGACCTCAACCGCGACCATCCACGCCCAGTGTTCCCTGCCGGACCTCAACCGCGAGTATCCACGCCAAGTGTTCCCTGCCGGACCTCAACCACGACCATCCACGCACAGTGTTCCCTGCCGGACCTCAACCGCGAGTATCCACGCCAAGTGTTCCCTGCCGGACCTCATGTAGGAAGATATGGGACAAAGAATGTGCAGAAGAAAGTTAGAAAGAATGTCAGAAAGAATGTCAGAAGATATGCCAGAAGATATGCCAGATAGAATGCCATAGAATGCCAGATAGAATGCCAGAAGAGAGATATGCCAGAAGATATGCCAGATAGAATGCCAGATAATATGCCAGAAGATATGCCAGATAGAATGCCAGATAGAATGCCAGAAGATTTGCCAGATAGAATGCCAGAAAATATGCCAGAAGATATGCCAGATAGATATGCCAGAAGATATGCCAGAAGATATGTCAGATAGAATGCCAGAAGATATGTCAGAATATATGCCAGAAGATATGCCAGATTGAATGCCAGAAGATATGTCAGATAGAGTGCCAGAAGATATGCCAGATAGAATGCCAGAAGATTTGCCAGATAGAATGCCAGAAGATATGCCAGAAGATATGCCAGATCATATGCCAGAAGATATGCCAGATAGAATGTCAAATAGAATGTCAGAAGATATGTCAGATAGAATGCCAGAAGATTTGCCAGTAAGAAAATGTATAAATGTCATGGTGGGGATCACACGAAGTAAAGTAATTTTTTTCGATGAATCGAATAAGGGTATAGGCCCGTTGAAATAATTATGGTTTAATTTTTTAAGGGGGGGTAGGGGGGGGTACGTAAGGTAGGGGTGATGAATCAACGCTTGTTCCATGGGGCCCTCCTCTTGATGTGATCATTTCCAATGTATGCCTCTCAGCCCTGATTCAAGAGAAATGTGCAAAACAGTAGCAGGCATGAGACAATACTGGGAGATATCAGATGCAAATGTCGTTTGCTTTGCGTGTGTAGATGTAGTGAAGCAGATGCGCATCTGACATTTAAATTTGTTATGAAAGCCAGCTAGCTGGCTTAGTTGCTATTCGCGAGCGAAGTGAGAATAGGGGGTGTGGGGGGTGGTTGCCAGAAGGTCCAAAAACCTCGGAAATATTTGCAGTTTAGGGCGTCCCGACAGGATGGTTTTGCTGGGTGTACCGTACGGCAAAAGAGTAACGGTGGGGTATCGATTTCCCGTAGGTCCGGTTTCTTTGGTGAGGTAGCTATGGTAGCTAGCCATTCAGAGAGATGGAGAGAAATATATTGCTCGAGAGACAGGCGACAGGCGCGAGCAAAAAGAGATCTCTGGTTTTCGTTCCCAACTTCTCAAGGTTTTTTAAATTTGTACATCAAAGTTCAATAGTAGTAGAATGGCAGCCCCTCAGGGTACCCAAAAGAGGGTTTTAGTTTTAATCGTGTCGAACCCCCCGCTCAGAATCGTGAATTTGCACTTGATTCATGTGTGCAATCAAGGAACTCCCGTCAAAGTCAACAAAAAAAACAACGACCACAATCGTTTCGTTGTGTGAAATTATTTGAGATTGAATCTGCAAGCAGGTGACACTTTTCAATAAGCACAAAGCAGAGGCGCACATGCTTCCAGCAGAGGGTGCAAACAAAAGTTGCAATTCTGGGTTCCCGATATGGGTTCATTTGAATTCATTTGAATTCATTTGAAGTCATTTCCATCGGAGGCTGGAAAGCCAACAGCTGTTCTTGAAATCCTCTGAGCCGTGTGCCCACAGTGTGCCCACAGCACACCCCCGTTTTCCATGCACAGCCCCGATTTCACGAATTTTCTTCACCCTGTTTTTGCGGGGTGAAGTTCTCGACTTGCCCAGCGAGTCAGTGCCTCTCGAATTCCTTAGTTTTGGTTTAGCGCAGTCGCGCAAAAAGGACGTCACAGTGCAGTTGCAGTGGTCAAAAGTAATTGTTTGGATCATACGCTGTTAAACAAATTGGGTCATGAAGGCTTTGATTCCTCCAAATACTCGCTGCATTCAAGAGGTAAGTGATTCTGCCAGACTGGCTCCAGAGCTTGAAGTTCATATGACTTCGCGTTATGCCATGAGAGAAACCAAATGCCAGTTCTTCAACTTGATGCAGCATTGTTATTCGAGGCTATTCAAATTTTGCGTCACTTTGACAAAACAGTTTTTTCACACATGTAGTGTCAGATGTGTCAGGGACCTGCTGAGTCTCATTTCATATTCTATCTTTCCAATTACTGCCATTTCCTTGCATCACTTGCCATGTTGAAAACTTCCGCAGAGGATTCTAAAGATACGAAGAAACCAAGGCCGAAAACAAAGACCAAAAAAAGTCATCTCTCTCCAAAGGATCCTGAGAAAAGTACAGGGCTGACTTCAGTTCTCGGACATAGCTTGGAAAATCAAAATGAAGAGAGCTCAAAATCCTCAAGCAGCTATCTACCCGAGCTACCTCTCTCAGCAGAGACTGAGAGTCCAGAGACCCCGACTCCAGAGACTCCAGAGACTCCAGAGGCAGCAAGGGTGCAGCCAGCCGGGCCAGCCGGGCCAGCCGGCACCTTAGAGCCAGCCTCGCCTGAACAGCTCGATGTCACACTGAGAAATTGCAAAGGCCTTGACTCAGCCGACTCAGCTGACGTCGCTCCTGATCCTTCTGACCTTCCACGTACATTTCTCTCACCAACACAGAAGTTTCCAGCAAAGTTTCAAAAGTTGCGAAGTGCATTTCACCAGGAGGAGCAGAAATATCACAGAGCCACAGCTACATCGGCTCGTTCCAAGACCATGACTGATACGGACACTGAAGAATTGGCAGATCTTGCGCCTGATGTTGATTCGTATGAAAGTGCAGCACTGCTCTTGATCAAAGGGGGCACTGATAGATTCCGTTCCCTCAGCTTCTTTGAGTGGGAAGCGTTGCAAGTGGCGTTTTGCTTCATGTTTCAATGTGGTGTGAAATTGGCCCTACGTCGCATATCGGAGTTCCTGATCTTCTTATTGCCTGAGGCCCGGAGCCGTTCCGAGGAAGACGTGCAACAAGGAGAGCGCTTGACCCAAATGCATGGCAAGGTCCAACAGACTGCAGTGGTGCTCGTGGAGAGTTTGCGTGAAGCTGACCAAGAGATGTTGTGGTGTTCACAGGAAGGTCTCACAATTCTCATGCAACTGCAGCTGGGTGATGCCCGTTTATTTTTTGCTCGACCCTTGTTGCAACGCATTATGTGCGATCTCTGGCGTGGAGTTCGCCCAGACTCTTATGCGCGAAGCTTTTGGAAGCAGCTGCAAGTTTGGGCCAGATTGCTGCTTTACAGTGGTCCCAACATCGCCATTTTGATCTTTTGGGCTGTAGTGCCTGCCTTGGAAGAGTGGATGCAGGAACTGTCAATCCTTGCTGCAGACAAGGGAAGACAAGATGAAGCAGCCTACTGGGAAGGCAAGCGAAAGAATGGGAAATCCCACTCTACAGGAGCATTTGGTTGGGAGTGCATGTGGTAAACTCGCAACACTATGACACGCTTAAGACATTTTTTTGTCCTTTTGATTCTTGAAACGATGTGTCCGCAAGGATAAGGGTGCTCGTAGTACCCACCCGGTTGTAAGTTTTCAAAACGTTGAAGCAGCAGAAAGGCTTGTTCACTTATGGCCCTTGTGGCTAGCTTTGAACTTCGGCTGCAAGTGGATGACCTTGTCTATGCCGGGGTATTCCCCAAACAGTGTGTCCGCACTGAGGGGTTGTTATGGTAGGAGTTCAGGCCGGTGCTTGATCAGGGTGCTCCGTCTGTTGTCCAGTATTTTTTCCTGTAAATTCTCGCATCAGCTGGGCTCTTGTGACTTGTCCATTTGCATTTCGACTTCGCAGGCTCGCATAAAACGGTTGTCGGGGTCCTGGGGCGCAGCATTTTTCCTCTAAATTTTTGCATAAAATGGCTCTTGTGATATGTCCAAGTGCATTTCGACTGCGCCAGCTGGCATAAAACGGTTGTCGCGGTCCTGGGGCGCAGCATCTCGCATGAATGGCTCTTGTGACATGGCTCGCGCAAAACGGTTGTCGCGGTCCTGGGGCGCGGCGTCTTCCCTGAGAATCCTCGCATAAAATGGCTCTTGTGACATGTCCATGGCCATTTCCATTGCGCAAAAACAGTTGTCCTTGTGAGAACATCTTTTCTGACAAAATCCTCTTTGGGAGGCCCTTGCATGATCTTGTACATGTCCTTGTGAGAAGATCTTGTGGAGATTCTGATAAATCCTCTCTAGGAGGTCCTTGCATGATCTTGTACAGGTCCTTAACAGAAGATCTTGCGGAGATCCCGGTGGGATCCTCTCTAACAGGTCCTTGCGTGAAGGTCTTGCAGACGCCATGTCTTGCATATGCTTGTATGAAAGCTCTTCTGTGAGGCTCTTGGGAGGTTCTTGTCTCAAGATCTTGCAAGCACCGCTCCAACAGCAGCAGGCCCTTTTATGACGATCTTGTGAGCTTCTCTTAAGGGTCCTGGCATGAAGATGTTGGCCAAATTCTTCTACAAGGTCTTTGTGAAAAGCTCAGGTGGAGATCCTCGTGAAATGCTGTGAGAGGCCTTTGCATGACGTTGTACAGGTCCTTGTGAAGTTCTTGAAGAGGTCCTGGTGGGTGTCCTTACATGATCTCGTACAGCGTCGTACAGGTCCTTGTGCGACTATCTTGTGGAGATCCTGCTGACATCCTCCTCAGTAGGCCCCTGCATTCAGGTCTTGAAGATCCCCTGCGTTGGTGCTTGTATGAAAGTTCTTCTGGGATGCCCATAGGAAGTTATTGTATGAAGATCTTGTGAGTTCCCCTACATAGAAGGTATTGCTGCTGCAGTTCCGATCATGTCTAACCTCATCTGTTCCTGTTCCATGGCTACTGTTGCTTGCCTACGCTCCACACTGTTTGGGGTCTCCTGCCGGTGTTCATTTTTTAAGTATAGTAAAGCAAGCAACGCACAGAGAGATGCAATGAAATGCCGTAGTAAACAAAATATAGGAGAAACAACGCAGTAGACATCGGTGTTTACAGGAGAATCGATTTTGCACGACTACATTTGTAGAGTTTTTGGAATCTCCTTAACTCACTTAGTTTCTGTGTTCTGAACTGTGCTTGTCAACGTGAACGTTGGCTCAAGCCTGCCAGAGCGAAAAGTGTATGAATGTGTCACCGTGAGACGGCCTGGGAGAGACTGCAGAAACGCGAAACTCTCACTTAACAATTCACTGTGTTTTTTCCATCTGTGCCTTGATTTTTTTTCGGCGCATTGACCACAAAACTCACACATATTCAGTGTATTTCAGTGTTTTCTTTTGCTTTTCAGCCTATGACACGTTTATTTCACTTATTTCATATTTCCATTGATTAATTTGCACATACATCCACAACGCCAACAAACTAAAATTACACCGGCATAGACCCAGATAGTGAGATTTCAGAGACGTTTTTTTCAGCCGTGTGAATCCGTCGCGGAAACTTCGGAACTTTCGGCCTGTGCAAGTAGGCACCTTGTACAGCACCCTGCACAGCACCTTGCACAGCACCTTGCACAGCACCCAGCACCCTTGCCAAACTTCGCCACCGCATTCCGGACAACACTTTGGACAGCACCCTGCGCAGCACCCTGCGCGACAGCCCGCACAGCACCTTGTAGAGCAGGAGGCTGAAAAATTCGCCGAAAACTCCACCTATGAGAAGCAAAAACCCTTATAGTTTGCCAGCTATCTGGGGAACAAACCACAGTGTTTCTGTTTGTCAACGGAACACAGATCCTCAAAAACAGTCAAAAACACATTTATGTTGTTTGGGCCCAGCATCAAACATAGGATACGTAGGTCCAACATAGTTTTTTTTCAAAAATCTTCCAAAAACACAAAAAAATGCGCGCGCAACAGCACGGCGAGTCTCGTGCGCTCCCAAAACTGGCCCTCCCCAAAGTTAAAACTATACTACAAGATACTACAAGTCAAACATCATTCTTTGCTGTCACTATTTGTAAAAAAACACGTTTTTGATCGCTAATGTTTTTTACGTCTTGCAGGCCTCACCCTTGCAGTGTGGGGGATTTATCTATTTGCTAATTCTTGAGACTTGCAGTGACTTGCAGAAATTGAAAGGAGACTGCGAGCAATCCGACGATGATTGGCCGTGTAAAGTTGGTGACAGGATGTGTTGGAATGAAACAAATTTCAGACACGCTCTTCGAGAAGAATGTCGACGGAAGGTCTTTGAAATTCAAAGCCGTTTACCACTGCTGCTTCCGTGCAACAAAAAGTATTTGGCCATTTTGACGAATTTGCTCTTTGTGGCGTATTTGATTGTAGAAACGCCGGACGGAGCCAATGTGAGGACTGGGTTTTCACATGTTTTGGCTCAAAATTGCCAGGCCAGAATTGCCAGGCAGTGAAGACATGTTGTGATTCTCTTTCGCCTCCCCCGTGATCCAAAAGTGAGAACATTTGTGATACAAACGTGAGAACATTTGTTTGTTCTGATTTGGTTTCAAGTTGGACATGTTCCATCATGTTCCTACAAACGTGAGAAAATTCGAAATATGATTCGGGCTGTGCTGATTAGGACTGTGTTGATGCTCAGTGCTGGAGCCTGGTTGGGTGAGGCTCGACAACTTTTTGCATTTGCAGGTGCCGGATCTGGTGCTTCATATAGTATGTCATTTTGGTTTATGGACCGTGTGAATGTCATGGAGCTCGTTGCCTACACTTGCATTGCTTGGACCAGTGTGCTTTGTTTGATTGCACCTGAGCATACGGAACTTGCTCAGCAGTTCAAGGCTTTGGGAGTCTTGTTTCTCGGCATTTCCCAGTCAATGGCCCTGTTGCGAATGAGCTCAGTGTTTGGGCCGCTGATCTCCATGACCATGAGCATGATACTCGACTTGCTGCATTGGATGATGCTTTTATTCCCAATTGTGGCGTGCTTGGTAGCTGCACTGATGACACTTTTCAAGGCCAGAACTGGCATTGAACAGGAAAATTGTTTGCCATTTGGCTTTGACTATGTGCAAGGTGTGCTGCGTTTTTTTGAGATTCAGATCGGAGAAGATGTTCCCCTTGAATGTCTTCGGGACGACTCACCGCACCCATGGTTTGGCCAAATCATCATGAATCTGGGCCTTTGGATGATTTTGATCCTGATGTTAAACATGCTCATTGCCATGATGGCCAAGACCTTCGATCGCATCTACGAGGGTGCGAACTGTTGCCACATAGTGCGACATAGTGCGACATAGTGCGACTGTACCGACTGTACTCCAAATACATCGTGTTGTCTCATCGATTACATATCATATATTACATATGTTGACATCTATGTTGGAATCTATGTTGGAAATTGTTTGAATCAAAGTTCATGTTGACATCCTTTGGAAGCATGTCTTGTTGTGTTTTTGTTTGAGAGATACTTCAGCCCTATAGACCCTCCGTTGAATTCGTGTGAATTCGTGCCAGGTGCCATGGTGGATTTTCAATATCACTTCATTGGAAACTTACTCCAGATGGTCTCAGAACCAGCAGTTCCGCCTGTGCTTCGAACTTTGTGCGTTCCGTGGATGCTGCTATCAATTCTGCTATCTTGTTGCACACGTTTCTCCAATTGCTTCTTTCATTTTTGCGGAAATCATGGACTATGTGGAAGGGGAAGAAATGGTGAAACCGAAGCATCTGAAGCGTCTGAAGCATCTGAAGGAAGGCTGTGGAAGATGGGCTCCACGGAGAAAAGCAGCGGAAGCGTTGCTTTGCGTCATTCCTTCCTGCAGACTCTGCAGCCGTCGTCAGACGTGGCGGACGGAGTCAACGGAGTCAGCCCGGTCAGCCAGCCACGCTTTGTTCCGGACGCAGATTTCATGCTTCTGTCCGATCGAGTGGAAGATTTTGTTGTGGAACATGCCGCGGATACACAGGTGCAAGATGCTCTGTGGAGAAAACAGATTGCAAGGCAGCTTTTTGTGATGGATTGCAAGCTGACGAGTCTAGCCAGTCTGGCCAAAGAAATGCAAACTTTCGGAAAGTTGAAGAGACACCGTCAATGATGGTGGATACTTTGTGCAAATTCACATATAGTACACACATACACGTCATACACGCCTTGCAGAATGCAGAATGACTCAGAATGCAGACTTTGTATGACTTTGTCTCAGAGAGACTTATGAGTTATGACAGTTATGACTCAGTTATGACTATGAGACTTATGCAGTTTGTCTCATGCTGCGTCTCATGCTGCGTCGGAGTCGTCTCAGGAGTCTCAGGGGTTCGAGTTTTTCATGGCTCGAAGGCGAAGCCACCGAGCTTGTCCTCACTCGACACTTCTCACTCGCTGGGCAAAAAAAACTACGACACAGATTCACCGAATTCACCGAATTGACAGATGATGTTGATAGATGTTGATAGCAGTTTAAGGATCTGGCTCTGTGCAAGGTGGTTAGGAAGATCTTCCCCCCTAGCCCCTTGTTAGCTATCCTTAGCGGGTCGGTAAGTATCCGCGGGCAGCCATCTGCCTTGTGTTCCCTTGCTCTTGCTGCTGGCATCTACGTGGCAGCTTGGTGCTTGGTAGCAGCGCTCTGCTGGACTGGCCCACCAGTAACGCCTTGTGCTCAGGCCTTGTGCTCTACTTGTACTGGAACTGGGTGGGGTACATCTTGGACATTGGGGACTTTGACACCAAGCTCGGGCTTTGCATGGTCATCCTGCTTAAGTTTCTAGTGTTTGTCCTATTGATCCAGTACGGCTACCCCGACGAGAAGGCGGCGGTCGAGACGCAACCGAGCTTTGGCAAGGAAAGCTTGGTATCTGCATCGTACAGCAGCCACTCCCTTGAGCACTGGGCAACTACGTTGGGTGTATACAACCCTTGGCAAGCATCATTCAGCAGACGCGGTGTTCCTACGCAACATCAAGAACGCCATGGCGCAGAGTGTGGGCAAAGGCATTGCACCATGGTTTTGCGCATGGTGCCGCAAGGACAACAAAGGAAGCCATACCAATTGCGGCTTCTGTGGTTCATATTGGGAAGACTGTGTGGCAATGCAAACGGCTCCCAAATCTCCCAGACGGAAGCGCACATCTTCTGTCCGACAACATCGAGATTGGAACTATGCCGAAGATTGGGCTGGCGAGTCGGGGCCATGGAAGGCTTCAACACCGAGGCGTGCTCAGCCTTCGCCACGGCAACATGCCCCCAAGTCACCAGCGCGCCAACAGCCCAAGCCGAAAAAGATCTCCAAGAAGCAGGTGCCACCCGCCGAGCCCGATTGGGTCTCCAATGCGGAAAAGGTCAACACGTCAGCTATGAGTTCAACAAGCCCCTTGTCTCCCGAAGCACAACAGTTGAGGGAATTGGTGAGCTCACTCAAGAAGTCCGACCTCGAGCTCACTCCGGAGATTCAGGCAGCTATGAGCAAAATTGCTGTGATCACTCCGAAGGAGGCCACCAAGCTGATGCATGGTGCTGTATCCAAGTTGGATCATGCGCGAGAGAAGCTGCAGAAAGCCAAAACGGCACGCAGCAATATGCATCGCAACTGGACCAAGTTCCTCGAGGATGCGGTCAAAAGATGGCAGCAACACAGCGAGCGATTTGCCAAAGAAGATGCAGACATGGTTTCAGCGATAGAAGATGCAACCTCTGCTTTTCAAGCTGCGCGCACACACCTCGAGGAGACCAAGGAGGCCTTAGCCGAGTTCGACAACATTGTCGAGAATCAAGTGCAGGAGGTCAGCGACGAAGACCTGATGGCAGATGCGACACCAAATGTCAGCACAGGCATCAGCGAGATGCTGTCCAGTCTGACGAGACTGCGCGAAGCTCAAGAAGAACCAGTTGCAAAGAAGCCCCGTATCGAAGAGGCAGAGGGCAAGCAAGGCACTGGTGGAGCTTTGGCATCCAAGGCATTGCAGCCTTTTGGAGGGGGGGGCAAACAGACCTAAAGGAGGTTTGCCGTCCCCATGACAGTGTTCCAAACTTCGCCAGTTTTGTGCCGGGAGTGGCATATTGGACACACTCTATCCTTGAGGAGAAGGATTTTATGAGTCCCTGGGAGGCTTTGGAACATGCTGCGGCTTTGAACTTTGAATTGTGCGATCTTACGCACCCAATACCTCAATTCACATACTTCCCCACAGATGTGATGTCACCCCCACCGGCCGACAGCCGATGTTCCTTGCGGGGTGTGACTTTTGACACCAATGTGGATGTGCGTGTGATCAACCAGTATGATGTTTGTCAATCATTTTCTTTGACCTTGGATCAGTTTCAACGCTGGCCAGACAAACCATGGTCTTTGAGGAGTTTGACTTCGCATTTTCCCGCATCTTGGAACTTTGCTTCCTCTTTCTTGATCGAGCAAGCGTGCACAGTAGATAAGCAGATTGCCTCTGATGCACAACATCATGTAGATGAAGTCCTTGATGCTACAAGTAATGATCCTGAGATGGACATTTTGTTGGATGACCCGGTGCCGCCTTCAGTTGAGGAGCCGTTGCTTTTGTCGACGTTGAGCCCAACTGCAGGCCTGACAGTGGCATCCGAACATACTCCGATGATTTCAATTCTTGATGGCCCACAGTTTCTTCATTTGACACCACTGACTTCGTCAACAGTGGAGGATGCAATTGATTCGACAGTGGAGTCAGCCTCAACCAATCCTCAATCTTCTGCCTCCAGTGGCAATGCTGAGTCTCAGTCTGGACGTGGCAATGCCATTTCGGATACAAGCGATAGCTGGATGATCAGTTTGAGATCTTTATGGAGGGATCATGCGAGACAGGAAACTACAGACGACAACAAGGTCATCTACATTGAGTCCTGGTATCTGCATCATGAACGTCATCCTAGATGTGACTGCTCTCGCACTGTACGCCTCGATCACATGGATCATCTATGGCTTGATGACCTTCGACAGGCTTGGCACGATCGTCTTCAAGATACTGAAGCCCTACACTTGGAATTGGTTCGTCCACAACCTCCTCGGGCTGACTCGCAACGATGTGTGGCTCATGTACTTCTGACGCAAGGTGTGCGCCATCATCACATTGGAGCAGTTCTGACGGCAAGATTTCTTGAAGATCACCAAACGCATCTTATTCAAGAAGCGGTGACGGTGCCTGATGAGATGTCAGGACAACGCGCCATTTCTCTGTTAAGGGTAGAACCATTCCTGACAGAACGACGTTGGATTGCAAGATCAGGATACTGCTTATTTGATGAGCATGTGCCTGAACCTATCTTCAATGCCATCAGCATAGTGATTGACATTCGAGTTAATCCGCCACCCTCGCAGGATGATGTTACATCCTTTGCTGCGATTCATCGTCAAGGACTCCCTCCACAACCAGCAGTTGCACACCAGCCTCAAGCTGTTCAACAAGACGACATCATTGACATAGAGCGCGACGACCTTATTGGCGACAGTGACAACAGCCCTTCTGAGTCCTCTGACACTGAGGAAGATGTTGATGCTGACTGGCGCTATGTACATGTATGTCTCCTGGGCAAGCGCATCTTTCATGGGCGCCTACCTTGGAAACAGCCAAACCGTCTGATGATGTATGCTTCTGAGATGACTGGTATTCCTGAGGATGACTTGGTTCATCTTTATTATGTGCGTCATGGACCAGAAGACCTTCGTGCAGCCAGAACGGAACCACTCATTGCGCATGTGTATTCTGATCTGCCCTTGGGATCAGTTCATCGCCTGGCTCTAGTTGATGTGGAGTTCCACGAGCAGCCTCCTGCGAATGAGGTATCGGTCTCAAGAAGATGCATGACCTTGCCACGTGTTCTTACTCGTGGTGCGCTTCTTAGAGCTCTTGGCATGGATATCTATTGTCGACGAGCACGTGACCGTTGTCTCTTATGGCACAATGGCAACATTTTGCCTCAGCAATCCGTGGCTCCCTTTGATGTGGAACATGGTGACTATGTGCGAGTCGCCGTTCCTCCATGGCCAAGGGCACCGGCACATATTTCTACTCGTGCCTGTGTGAGTCGTATCCGCCAGCAGCCCCGAAGGATGGATTATGCCAATATGCAATCTCATCCCACACATGAACATGAAGATGGTATGACAGTGATCGATTCGGTCTTTGATGAACCCCACTTGATGGCTTCCGATCCTGATCCTGACCATCTTGGTCTGCTGCAACAGGCCGCTGTGACTACGGTGCACCCATCAGTCAAGTGCCGTATGATCAACAATTCTGGCACAGAATTACCAGCTGACAAAATTGATGGAGATCACCAAGTGAGACGTGATACCATGCAATCCATCGGCCATCACAATGCTCAACAACCCTGGATTTTGCATGGTCAACACCCTGTAGTACATGATCTCTATGACATCATTTTTCGAGCCCATTTCGCGCAGAATGCTCCGCTGCCAACTGAAGCTATGATCATGACATGGTATTCAGATCATGTGCGGCGCCCGCATAGCGGTCTTGGCCGAGAAGTTCGTCTACAGGCTGATTTCTCTACCTGGTATCATGATCTTGTCATGGCATGGCAGGACTGGGTTGATCCCTTTTCGCCGATGTTGTTTGCTGTGGTGTATCCATTGCCTGAAGATGGAGATGCAGAAGTTTGTGCGCATGTGATTCTGCTACAACATGTTCACGCAGATCACAGTTCCATCATTGCGGCACTCTCGGACTCAGCCGACGACCCGTGGCATCCTCGTCTGTTATGTCTGTGCGTGCCTACGGCCTTGTCCCATGACATCCTCAAAGGCTATATGGACTTAGATGGCATTTGCGACCTTCAACCACCTCGTCACTGGTGCCGCACGTGGAAAGGCACTCAAGATGTCACAGGCTGGCCTTTCTTCCATGTAGCTCATGGTGAATATATTGTCTTCTCCGTGCAACGTGATGTTCCCTGGATGATTCCTTCATCAATGGACATGCCGAGCGAGGCCCTCAATGCTCAGGACGAAGATGATTCACCAGCTTTGCTACAACGCTCGGCAAGGTTGGTGTTGTCTCTTGATGAGCACATCACACCTCCCAAATTTACTGAAGTAGACTGCCAGCGCACCATTTTTGTTCGCAACCAACTGTGTCTGATACCATCCTTTCAGCCAGTGCTTGACCGACGGCGATTGCGATGGCATCCTGCTACCTGGGCGGCTTTGGAACCTTTGCCCTTGTGGACTGATGAACACATTGATGGAATGACATTCTATACTGATGGATCCTCATTTCGACATCTTCAAAAGGCTGCAGCAGGAGTCGTTTTGATCATCCACACACCACACGGACAACGATGGGGTGGTTATCTTTCTGCTCCTTGTCTTGGTGATCCAACAGCTCCCCGTGCGGAGGCCACAGC